CTGCATCAACAGCAGGGTGACAAGCAGGTCGAGGGAGCTGATTCTCCCCCTCTTTCCTCTGCTCTCGTGAGACACCACGTGGAGTGCTGCATTCAGCTCTGGGGGCCCCAACATAAGGATGTGGACCTGTTGAGTGACATGTGATCAGAGGGCTGAGCAACCTCAAGTTGTTTAGCCTGGAGAAGAGATGGTTCCACAGAGACCTTATTGAAACCTTTCAATACTCAAAGGGGGCTTATAAGAAATATAGGGACAGACTGCTTTTTAGCAGGGTCTGTACCTGTTGGACAAGGGGTGACGATTTTAAACTAAAAGAGGGTAGATTTAGGCTAGATCTAAAGAAGAAATTTTTTACAATGTGGGTGGTAAAATACTTGAGCATGTTGGCTAGAGAAGCTGTGGATTCCTCATCCCCGGAACCATTTAAGTCAATGTTGGACAGGGCTCTGAGCAACCTGATCTACTGGAATGTGTCCCTGCTCATTGTAGGAGGCTTGGACTAGATCGCCTTTAAAGGTCACTTTCAACACAAACCGTTCTATGATTCTACAATCTCTACCAAAACAAGATATATAGATAAGTATTAAAAAATAAGACATCGAGTCAAATTAAATCCTTGCATCATTGAATACAATCTAATTCTCACTGCTCTTTAGTGTTGAGTGGAATGCATCTGTTTATATTTTGCAAACTTCTACATTTGCACAAAGGAAATTAGTGATGAAAACAGTTTCTTTGGTTTACAAGTATCTAAAGTAAACAAAAACTGAGGCCTGGAATAAATTCTTTACTGAAATGTGCAAGAATTTCTTCTGTTTGCTCAGGATTTTTAAATTTTAAAAGTTTACTTATAATTAGTTATAGCCTTTTTAGTTGAGATTTGAATAGATCCTTCTATTTGGTGAAATGTGAACACCTTACCCTTTAAAGACCTATTATATGGAACCAGAAAAATTAAATATTTTCATGGTGCTTGATGTCACCAAATCATCAAGTCAAAGGAAAGAAGAGACAGAGTAGATTTTTAGTCTCTCCATTGAACAGAGCATGTGGTGGATAGAGAATTAAATTTATCGGGGTTATCACAGCACATTCCAAGATGATAAATCATCATTGAGAATTACTCTTTTGGAACATGATTCTATGAATGTATTTAACCTGATTTTTCTAAGGAAAAAATTACGCTATGTGAGCATCCATGTCTGTCTCTCCCTCAGCTGTAGTGAGACCAATAACAACTGCAACCAATCTGAAAACCTGAAAAAGTGAGCAGGAAACAAAACAACAAGTTCCTGAACACTTTGTAAAATGACGTGGTTCATTAAAAAATGGGAACATTCTGCCGTGTAATCTGAATTGTTATCACAAGCCAGAAAATCCACAGGAGTATAAAAGAAAAAGTAGAGATGCTGCATGTCTCAACCTTGGGAAAATTCTCAGTTAGAGCTGGATCTGTTCAGATACCAAGGTCATTCAACCTCATGATGCAAATGCTCTGGGAACTAGATGTCTTTAATTGCAGTGTTGATATAATTTAATTTTTCTAAGCAGTCTATTCCACAAAAAATAATATAATTTTCCTTTTATACAGCTACCAAATAAAAATATGTGCTGAACATGAAAACAGCCTTACTAATCATAACTGCCCTCTTTTTTCCTAACATCAAAAGAGTAGGCAAGGTTAGATGAGCAAAAAAGTACTGAGATTTGAACTCAGATGTTGAACTTTGCATAAATCCAATATGAATCATTAAGTGATCCACTGTCTTTCTTTCCTTGTCATCAAGGTAACTATTTATATTGGCTGATATTCCATCAACCTCTATTAAAATCCACTCTTCAGCATATGTCTCCAAGCATGGTACTGTATCAAGGAGTCAATCAATTAAAACTTTCCTCCAGCTCAGGGATATTAGGCTAGCCTTTGTACCAGAGTATATCTGATTATGTCTTACACTGACCACTGATTTACAAATGCGGATCGGTCTCTTGATAGCACTAGATATGTTTTTCAAGTCCTGCAGTAATGGAAGACTAACATGACTGCACTAATATGAATCATTTTATGTAGAGTTTCCTTTTTAAAATGTCTTTAATATTCAAGCTAGAGCAAATGGCTTATTTTAAAGAATTTTTTCTGACTGTGCATTTAGGCATTGTAGGTTTTTACTAATCACAAAGTTTTAGTTTACACCTGGACACCTGGATCTGCATTTTATGCCTGTAAGTTAGCAAAGAATCTCACACACACTTTTTTTTTTGGTCTTTTTAATTTGTCTTAACTGTGAACTGTTATTCAAGTATGTTCTTATGAGAGCTCTAAATGAGAATTGCTTATTTAACAGTGGTCCTTGTGGGCTCAGGGATTGGTGAAGGTACCTGAGGAGTGGCTGGCACAACTGAAGAAGAGGATAAGAGCATTCACTACAGGGAGGGCTGGCAGAGGTATACTTACAACTTTAACTCCTGGAACAGCACTGATCATAGATTTAAGGTGGATCTGCCTCAAATTCATTGTCTATGTGAGCTCTCCCTGAAGCCTTTTAACTGTAAACTAGGACACAACATTTTAAATAAAAACAACTGAACAACATTTTTTCAAAGAGCAAAAATTAAAAAAAAAAAAGCTTTCCTCACAAGCCCACTGTATCCTTGAAGTCATTCATTGGTATACCAGCTGGGTCTCAGCAAGCTCTACACTATCGTTCCCCCCAGACCATTAGTAGAGTTTGCTCTTGGCATTTTTGGGACTCTGCTAATCTGCTCCTCAGCTCCACATGGGACACTTTCTGCCAACATGCACCCAGTGGTCTTATTTTTCCCCAAGGGATGGAGACATCTCTTCACCCTGAGGCAAGGTTCATATCAAAGGCAGTAACTCTCTTCAGGAGGAGATCCCACAAATTCATGTCACCTAGGGATGAAGGTGATCTCCTAAAATTAAATTAATGGTGTCTATAGAGACTGCAAAGTGCTTTGAATTCATGAATCCTTTACCACCTCCCCTTTCATTATGTTATTAAAAAAAGCAGGTAAGAGTGCAAAAGCCCTAATATACCCTCAACCAATTTCTTTTAATGTAAAATCCTTTAAATTATATTGACCATTTCATAATGTGGATAAAAAGTCATTAAGAAAATATTTGGTGGGTTTGGGGATGCAGAATCCTGTAACTTGAATAGCTGGAGTAAAATGTAAAGTTTATTACCAACTGTTTGGTATGAGCAAACTACATTTTTCTCTCTCAACAGCAGCAACCTTAATACATTTTGCAGCTTTGCCATTAAATACAGAGAGAAGATTCCCATCTAATTTCTAAAAGCAGTTTTGTGGAAGAAAATGGGTAATCAACATCTAAAATGTCTTTTTTTCTCAAAACACTTTTAGTCTGACATAAATGACAGTTATTTAAAGGCAATCACTCGTGTTTTATGTCTCACACAAAAACCAGCAGACACAGTATTCTGCCTTTGAGACAAAACACTAATACATGTGACAGAACATTTTGAGCAGTAATAATCAGAGGCCACAGATCCAGCAGCATCCAGAAAACAACTGAAATATTCTCCATTAAGATCTGTATCTCTTTTTGCTATCCTTGTTCAGTCTCTAACTGATATTATGTTGCATTATGAACAACTAATTATCTGCATCTGACAGGTACAGGAGATGCAAATCACATTCATTCTGCAATATGTAGACTGATAACTTACACATCTGTTAAAAATAAAGTGGTTTCAAAATATCACCCAGGAGGCATGTGTTCTGTTCAGTGACCTTTGGAAACTCTAGTCCAATGAATAACTAGTGATGTGCGAGTAAGTTGAGAGGCAGTAGATAAAAAGTGCCTATAACCTTATATGTTATCTGTTATGAGGATGGCTATGACAAAAAGATATATTGCTCTTTCATAATTTGCCCGAGAGAGCAAAATCAATGAGAACATAAACTTGTATCCCTTTAAGTTGAGTGGTTATGGAATTCATTATCCTGGACAATTAAAAATATAACATGCAGAAGAAATGCAATGGATTATTTAATTTAAGTATCTAATTTAATGGTAATTTGCTACCTTACAGGCATTTGTTCATATGGTGTCAGTCAAACCTTGATAAATCTGGCCTTTCATTCAATCATTTTATGTAAAAAGGGGCTGAACTGTGCTTCAAGAAGGAAAAACTTCATATTACCAGGATGTTGGTAGAATACTGAAGGAATTCAGTGATGACATTCTTGCATCCATTAGAAATCTTTGCAAGCACTATGGCACGTGACAAAGCTCAGACTTTCTTTCTCACACCATACACAGCCCATTTGGTCTTGATTTTGTGTCAAACAAAGTCCACAGTGTAAAGACAGCAGCTATGTAACCAAAACGCAAGGAAAAAACACCAAATCCAGGAAGATATTATGCAACAAAAATTTTAAATATCTTTTTTGGTGCTACTTTTAAACCACACTACAAAGAAAGCCTTCACTGCAAGCCCTGATTATAGCTCAGGTAATTCAGCCTTTGAGAAAACACATCATTTACACATAGCTATGGTCTATAGCTTTTATGTAGCCACTTAAACATTAAAAACCCTTTTGAAATTTTTGTTTTATAGTATTACACTACATGTCCTCTATTATGAACATGTGCAAGGAAAACTAAGATCTTTAAAGGGAAAAGATGCCACAATTCCAGTTGACAAGCTAAAAAGGGAGTTGCCAAGTCCTGCAGGCTCTTCACAATAATCAAATGCCTAGTTGAGCACTGACAGAGTTATGAGGAAGAAAAGCATTTTGAATACTGTCTGCAAGTATCTACACCTCAGAGATCTTAATATCATGAAAAGCTTATCCTGTTGTATCACTCACATTTTTATAGTTTATAATAAACAGTGGCCACCTTTATTGAAAATATAAACAATTTTATTCTTGACCACATTCAATTTCATAATTAATTGCAATATTTTTATTTCAGTGTTCTCCTGTAAGAGAGCATAAATTATACTTACCCTCTCCAAAGTAATTTCTTCAAATTCATATTCAATTTCTGTTCCATTGACCTAAACAAAATAAAATCAGAAAATTCCTTAAATGCACATGGAAGGTAGCTTCATAGGCATGCTGTACAGCTCTTCCAGTATCATCAGTTTCCTGAAGCACATTTTTCAACATATAGGTGAGGATTTCTAAATTGTAGACTACTTAGCTCCCCTTTGTCTTGAATGGCATGTAATCAAGCCTATAAACTTGAAAACAGTAAAAGTTTGGTATGTAATGAATATGTAAGTCCCTTATGTAATGTGACTGATATTTGGCATAATGTGTTTGTGGACTTTGTGCAAATATTTAAAAGGTAATAGTTTCATGTCAAAATAGAAGACTGTTTCTAAAAATTATTCTCACAAATGGAAGAAAGATTATTCATGCGTTGTCTTATGAGCTGCAATTTACACTGCAATACAAAAACAGGCACGAAACTCATAGTACTTATGTAAAAATCACTCACTGATACATACACTGAAATAGATCTTGTTTACTATATTAACCTAGGGCAAGAACATGACAGAGGACCTTTGAAATAGACAGCCAAATAGCAAAAAGGCATAGAATGTTAATGTAATTCTTATGCCGAGTCTCAGTGTCAAAATAAATTAAGCTACAAAATGTAGAGTACCAAAATGGATTGCACCGGACAAGAAATCTATCAGCTGAAGACATGACACTGATTTAAGCAGTATTCAGAAACCTTGTTCCAGTCTGACATGGATTTTTTTTGTTCCTCTAGGTATGTCACTTAACATCCCTTACTTTTGTCATTTCTTAAATGGGTAGAGTACTGCATCTGAGAAAGCTACAAAGGCTGACTATATAGTAAGTAAACTGCAGAGCAATGAAAATACTTCTCTCATTACAATCTTAGAAGAATTTCAAAGCATCACTTAGCTACAACCAGTCAGCATTTTTTTGGCTTGGCCAAAAAGTATTGATTAATTAAAAAAAAAAAATGAATCATGACACTTTAGTTTTTGTGATGATAGGCTATGTCCTGGAAAATACTTTTGCTTTAGTGTTTTACTTAATGAAAAAAATATTTTGCAAGATCTAAACTGAAGCAAAGCATGATCTTCAAGGAATAGACTTGTTATTTCTCAGAACAAGAACATTTATTACGCCTCCCCACTCCCAACTGCTAATTTGCTATATTACATTTCTAACTGTAATTAGAAAACACTGTACATAAATCATTCTTTATCTAGTCAAGCATCTTTCAAATGTAATTAGGTACTTCTCTTATGAATATTATAACAAGGTACATGCATCTACCAAACAAAAGCTTTCTATAAAATCCACCAACTATTTAATTTGTCTGCAATTCAAGATCTTATAAACCATGAAATCAGTAACACAAACTGAATCCCCAGAATCTGTATTGAAAAGGAAAGAGAGAGAAAAGTCCAAACAAACAACTCATGCTTAACATTGAAATGAAAACAGAGCATCAATGAATAAAATATTTAATAAGTGCATAAAATTTGTATTTTTTACTTATTATGATCTGGCGATCACATCACACTACACTAAAATCAGAGATGAAAAAAATTTACTATAGGATGTTTTCCTGTTCTATGTTATCACTTTATTGCTTTCTGCACTGTCTTTTACTTTCCGCACTCAGTCTTTTATTATTATAGGCAACTTACTAGGTATGAACGAACAGCTTTATAGCTATTCCATTTTTTGTCCTTTCTTGTCTAATGATAATGAAATCAAAGCCATCTATATGTCTCTGTTTTCATAAACTTCTCTTTCATCTTAGTTGGTGGATAACTCTGATCTATGTCTTCAATTCCTCAGTCTTGCTCTATAAAGCTGTCTTTGCTTCACTGCTTATAATCGCTTTTCCTTTGCATTAAAAACTCGTTAGTGCAGCAAAATGGGAAAAAGAGGGATATGAGAAGCGAGCAACCTCTGTATAAAGATGAAAGGACAAAACACAAGCTGAATACTCAATCTGTATTTGCACACAAACGATATATTGCTTATGATCATCTGAGGGGTTTCTATTATCATCCATAGTTGCAATTCTGAAAATGCCTTCAATTCAAATCATGATTAATCCCAGCAGAGTTCCATTATCAGGTTCTATACCATCGAGAGTGATATGAATTAAAAAGCTGATCTTGATCCAGCTCCTTTTGTTTAAACATATATGTCTGCGTACACAGTTCACTGCCCTGTTTGCCTTGCTGGTTGTTCAGCAGAACAATGCAGTTATTTTGTAAAGGATCTAATAAAATATTGCACCTACCTGAGGCAGGTGGAACAATGCTGTATGTAGTACCATTCATTGCTAGCACCATTTTGTTTCATATTCAGACTGTCTGGCTGCACCTACACTGCTAAATTACAGTCAGTTTTCAGCCAATTCTTAGTGCTGAAGGCTGTTTCTGTCTGGAGCCTGCTGGAAGCAAATAGCCAAGGAGTGAGCCAACAGTCAAGCAGGAAGAGAAACATGGCTCCAGCCCTGGAACTGGCTTGACTGTCCTCTCCTTTAGCAGCATATGGACATACCCTCTGTTTTTGTACATTTTAACTTGACAGTCTCTGGCCTGTCAAAGCAACTAAACAAGCTCTCTGAATCTGCAACTTACATTTCTTGCAAGTAGTGGGAACCTGTTCTTCTGTCTCTCTTATATGAGTTTTCTAAATCCTGCTTTTATATCAGATTGCAGTAAGAACACACAGCAAAATTTACTATAGCCTGCATGATTTTAGATACCTATGAAAAATTCCAAACATTTTCATACAATTTTCTATTCTACACAGTCAAAGAAATCATCAGCATTTCCCAGCTGTTTGGGAAAATTCTTTCTCATCTTTCAGGATTGCAAGCTCACCATGACAGATATCTTTAATCTCAAGTAACTTTTTGTATTTATAATTCTGAAATGTGAAGTAACACCTTATACTCAGGTGAGAAAAAAACAGGCACATGGAGGTCTTAATTCATTTCATCCTACGCTAGAAATCTCAGGTAGGTGAGATGAATTGTGCCCTGAGGTTTCCTTTCACTATGTACAAACAGAGTCTAAAAATGACATGTAAAGTTTGGTGAGCACTTGCCTTAAATCTGTTTTCTCTGCATTTCTCCTGGCTATAGACTGTAACAAATTTCTGCTTAAGGGATGCCGTATGTCTTTTATAATTATACACCAGTGAAAGACCAGATCTCCAGTTAAGCAGCTTTCCTGATTGCTTTTTTGGGCTTGTCTGGACCCAGACAAGCATGACAGCTCATGCATGACATGATATTCAGCACCTCCTCCCACATGCCCAACAGGTAGGATATCCACCAGGAACAATTCAGTCTTTTCCCTTTTCCAAAAGCTCAAAGTCAAGATATATTGCTTGTGGCTTCTCTCTCTGATTTGGGACACTGATGTCCACTCTTCTGAGAAAGAGTGCTCAACACCACCTGTGACAGAAATGGGTCCACAGGACTCCAGCAAGAGTGGGTAAGAGGTGCACTAGATGAGGTCCATGGAAGGACACCATCAACTGCACCCCTTCTTCAAGGCACAGAGTCTGGAATAAAAATGTGTCTCATCCAGGAACATCTTTTATTTCCAGCAGAAGAAAAAAAGATACCATTGACCAGGACAAAACATAGAAGTGCTACATGGGAGCAGGTCGGCATGAAACCTTGAGGTAATTTTGAGGGCCTCTGTTACATTGCCAACATACAGGTCTAATGCAAGAAGTTTCTCAGTCTCCTGACCTTACATATGTTCATGATTCAGAGAGTGATTAATATCCAGCCCTCGTAGAATAAGTTACCATAATTTACTTAAGCGCCAATGTTTAAAACAACTGCTTGTAAAGGCAGGGTAACAGTTGCTTTTCATTTACAGCTGCACCTGTTATTCTGGAGGACTCTACCTAACTTTTACAAGAAAATGTCTTTAGGAAAGAGATGTAATGTATGGTAGCTATCTAGACTTCATTATTCAAGAGAGATTTCCTGGTGGAGCTCTCTTCACTGTTAGTGTTCTCTTATCTTTCTAAGATGACAGCCCTAGTCATCTTCAAATGACACTTTTAGAAGAATGAAAAATAAGGAACAGGTAAAGAGAGTTTTTTATATACTATTTCGTAAAAAATCTGAAATACAGTGTAGCACACAGAACACCTAAGTAAAGACCTGACAAACTGAGATTTGTTTGTTCCTTTATGGGAAGACTTGTACTCTGACTTTCCAGGAAGTCTCTCCTTTACAGTAGTTTAAAGGTGACATAAGCAGCTGAAGTAGTCCCTTAATGAAAATCAGTTCTACAGATGCTACAATTCTAAAATACTTGAGAAAAACATTCTGTTGGGTTTTTCATTTTCTGCCACATACTGTGCCACTTTAAGACTTTTTAAGATTTTTTTTCACATAATAATAATAGTTTGATACTCTTTTTTTTACTTTACTTTTGCAATTATTTGATTTGATGGACGTCTTTACACTCAAAAAGTAAAGTATTGCATAATTCTTTTTTGCCATGCTTCAACCCATCTTCAACTGCATCCACCCACTCAATAAGACATAGATTTCACCATATGAATCTTAATGATAAGCAGTGTATTATGATAGCAGCAACACCATCAAAACATGTACAATTTATACAACTGCAATATTTCAATACCACTGCCCCTTTCCTTTCTAATAATAATTGTTGTTAGAGCTCTTTGTTATGCTTAGCCTTATTTTCAAGAAGAGATTGTTTTCCCTAAAAATAACATCTGTAGACTTTTATTACAAGCAAAACTCATTTTAATCATATTTAATTGGATATTGTTTTTCAGCCATCTTCAGGAAAGAAGACTGCTTCTTTTACTTCTATTATTATATGCATAGGAAGATAACTACCCTTCAACATGCAAATTTTATTCCTTTGGCTGTATGGTTTTACCAGTTGTCTAATCATGCAAACCTCAGCAGAATACAAGATTGCCAAACTCTTATTGTGAAAGTAATGCCAGGATATATTTGTCTTTTAAAAATTTCCAATTTGCT